CAAAAATGTTCTTCGCGATTGCGAGGATGTTTCCGCGATCGCGAGGATGTTTCCGCGATCGCGATTAAAGAAAAATGTCTAGGCAGAATATTAAGTTCTAAAAACGAGGGTTTGGTCCATAATTTCAAAATTTCATTAGAGAGCTCGGGAGAAGGTGAAATTTAATGAGATTTTCAGTGGAGCAATTAGGGTAAGTATTCTTCACTCATATTTGGTTTAATTCCATAATTTAGTCTTGAATTTCATCATTTAATTTGAGAAATTAGAGTGGAAATTGGGGAAAAATGGAGGCAAAGTTTGAGAATTTCTTTTGGGAATTTGAGAGGCCATTTGAGGTCCGATTTTGATGTTCTTGGTATGTATGAACTCGTGAGACTGTAATGAATCTATTGATCTGATTTTTATCAGATTCCGAGACGTGGGCCCAGGGGCCGAGTTTGGTCGATTTCGGAATTTTTGGTATAAATTGGATATTTTTGAATGGGCTTTATTCCCTTAGCATATTTTGATGGTATGAATCTGCTTTTGGCTAGATTTGGAGCATTCGGAGGCCGAGTCGAGAGGCAAAGGCATCGCGGGCTAGAGTTTGGACCGGATTGAGGTAAGTAATGATTGTAAATATTTGTCCTGAGGGTATGAAACCCCAGATTTCACATCTTTGTGCTACTTTGAAGTGACACACACGCTAGATGATGAGCGTGGGGTCGTGCACCGTTGGGGATTGTGACTTAGTCCGTCCCGTATGACTGTTAAACCGTGTATTTGATTGAAAACTGTTTGATATCATTGTGTTTTGGAAAGTATTATCATGTTTTGGGATGAATACCATATTTGGGCCTCGTGCCAACTGTTTTGGACCCTTAGGGGATTTTTACTACTATTCCTCAATGTTTTGACTTTATATTTGTACTTAGTCATGCTGTATTCTACTGTTTTCATAACTCAGTCATATTTACTCAGTTTTGATATTTTAAATGATATTTTGGGCTGAGCATCATGTTTTACTGTTGCCCGAGTGACATGAGAGATTTCTGACTGAGTGAGGTCGAGGGCCTGTGTTGTGAGGATATTATGGGATCGGGCTGCGCGCCGCAGCAGTGTAGTACTGATTTATGATTATGAGGCCGAGGACTTGATTTGTTAAGCCACGAGGTGGCTTGATATGAGGCCGAAAGCCTATTTGATTATGCCACGAGATGGCTTGTTATTGCGCTTGGGCCGTAAGGGGCCCCTCCCGAAGTTTGTACATCCCCAGTGAGCGCGGGTACCCAGTGTGAGTGATATGATGTAGCCCGAGGGGCTATTGTTGTTTCATATTATTGCCTGAGGGGTTGTTCTTGATCCATGTTTTGCCCAAGGGGCGATTCTTGAATCATGTTATGCCCGAGGGGCTGATTACGAGTGATTGTGAGGTAGCCCGAGGGGCTGGTTCTGTTGATATTATGCCCGAGGTGCGGTTTATGGTACATGTTTTGCCCGAATGGCTGTCTACGTTTCCTATCATTTTTACTCACTGTTTTATCACTCGTTTGAAACTATTGAAAGTTGTTTTCAAAGGTTTTTACTAAAACTGAGCTTAAATTACGAAGTACATGATTTCTGTACTGTGTTGGAAATGTCCTGCATTTGTTGTAGCGTGTTGGCGTGGCTTACGTGTTTTCTTACTGCTCAGCTTTCATTTACTTTTATTACTTACTGAGTTGGCGTACTCACATTACTCTCTGCACTTTGTGTGCAGATTCAGGTAGTTCTGAACCCGGTAGCGGGTGTTGATTGCTCAGTGGCAGAGTCATTAGAGTTGCCAGGTAGCTACCCGACGTTCGCAGCACTGCTTTTCTCCCTCTTGTCTTCCTTAGACTGTATTTAGTAAATTTTTAGACTCTTTGTTGTATTCGGACCTTAGTAGATGCTCGTGACTTGTGACACCCTGATGTCGGCTTGTGTACTTATTCCGCACTGTTCATTTCGACTTACATTATGAGAATTTGATTAATTAAAGGCTTAAAAATGATTGTTATTGATTAAATGGTTAATTCGGGAGTTGTGTTGGCTGACCTAGTTTCACGATAGGCGCCATCACGACCGGGTCGATTTTAGGGTCGTGACAAACAGCCCCTCCTATGTAGTGAATTCAGCAGATTGAGTCATTTTGACACCCATCCTTCTCAAGGAAAGCAACGGAACAAGGTTTGTTTGTGGTTTCTTATGTGATTACAATGACACTGCTTGCGTTTTTGTGTCCTTTTATTTCCAAAGATCGATTATCCTTATATGGATAATCCGAGATTAGTCTGGTCAGCAAATAGGAATAATCCAGTTAGAGTTAATTCAACCTTGCAACTTAGGCTAGAGACGGAGGAATGTTCTTGATTGACTCGAATGGCACGTTGGTTTGGAATACAAACACAAGTGGAAAGTAGCTTGTTTCAGGCTTCAACTTGACAATGATGGGAAAGCTTGTCCTCTTTGGCAAAAGCAGTGACACCATTTGGCAGTCTTTTGGTCATCCTACTGACTGTTTGGTTCCTGGACAAAGAATGCTTCCTGGACAGAAGCTGCATATCAGCAACAAACTGGAATAAAGGTTTGTTCTCAATTGAAATTAAAAGTTCAAGTCTTTTTGTATACATTGAATCAAATCCACGCCATTTCTATTTCTCAATGCTTTATTCGGACTTAAATGCAATGTTTTCTAATAATGTGCGGAACTTGGTATATTTGAGTGTTTCCCTAGGGATGTTATTCCCTTACCGTGAAGGAGAAGCTCGATTTTTGAAATGTGAGGCCGATGGGCATTTAAGGGTGTATTACTGGGAAGGATCATCTTGGTCAAAGGAGGCTGATATATTGACAGCCTCCATTGGTGACTGCGGGTATCCGACTGTGTGTGGAAATTACTCTGTTTGTGGAAATGGGCAGTGTAGTTGTCCTCGAACTGCAGTTGGTCAGACAAACTTTCTCCAACAAATAAATTAGAAGAAGCCAAATGAGGGGTGTGTCCTTGTCACACCTGTATCTTGCGAGCATTCCCATTATCATGTTCTTATGAAGCTTAAGAACACGACTTACATTCCCCTCTATTTGGAATATAGTACCAACAATACATAGTTGGAAGATTGCAAACGGTCTTGCTTAAGCACCTGTTCTTGCAAAGCAGCTCAATTTCGGTTTTGTGATCCTGCTAACACAATGGGTAACTGCGTACTGTTGAATCAAGTGTTTTCGCTCGTGAACAATGATGGAGCACTCAATAAAATTAGAGAATCTGATGGCCTCTACATTTTCCAAGAACATACAAAACAAGTAGTAGGAGCAGCAGTAATAAAAGGCAAATATGACAAATTTGTGGCACTCAAGACTAGGACATACTTCCATGAAGGCAATGCGACACATACCTACCTTGAGAAATCTAGCAGATGAGTATGTGCAACAGGAATGTAAAGTATATCCAATGGCAAAACAATATAGATCAATTTTTCCTGTTAGTAGCAGTAAATCAAACTGTATTTTTCAGTTTGTACATGTAGATGTTCGGAGTTTACTTTGTCACAATTGTTGATGACTTTAGTAGATACACTTGGGTTTGCCTAATACAGTCTAAGTGTGAGGTATTAGTTGTATTGACAAATTTCTTCTCAATGATAAAAAATCAGTTTGGTATGATAGTTAAGGTGTTGAGATCAGACAATGACACAAACTTTTTTAATTCTAACTGTAGTGATTTACTTTCTGGTTTGGAGTGATTCATCAAAGTAGCTGTCCGTATACGCCACAACAAAATAGAACTGTAGAAAGAAAACATAGGCATATTCTGGAAGTTGCAAGGGCTCTAAAATTTCAAAGTATCGTCCCAATTAGATTCTGGGGTGAATGCATTAAAACTGCAGTCTATTTGATTAACAAACTTCCTACTGCAGTACTAAATGGAAAATCACCCTATGAAATGCTACATGGGAAGGTGCCTAAAATGGAGCACCTAACAGTGTTTGGATGTTTGTGTTATGCTAATGTCTTACCAAGGGAAGATAAGTTTGTTGCAAGAGCAAAGAAGACAATATTCATGGGCTACTCAGAAACACAAAAGGGGTATAGGTTGTATGATTTGGAGTCACAACTCTTTTTTGTAAGCAGAGATGTGTCTTTTAGAGAGGATATATTTTCTTTCAAAGAAAAAAGGCATAAAGATATTTGGGAAGATGACCTATTCCTGGCAGATCCTATAGCATATAAGGATGTGCCATCAGCCAATTCAGAAGACAATTTTCAGCATAGCCCATCTATTGAGCAACAAGTAACTGTTGATCAAGAAACAACCATTGATACCCATTCAGAAGCAACACATTTAGAGGCAGATGATATCAACTCAGAGTCAGAGCCTGCAAGGCCAACTGAGTAGAATTCCAACACTAGTGGTGTCAACTTAGAGCCTGAATTCTCAGATGAACAAACTCAACAAGAAACCTTCACAGATGTACAAATTGAGGGGAACAACCTGATATCTCAAAAATGGATAGCAGCAGACCTAGCAGAGTGACAAAGCCTCCTACATGGCTAAAGGATTATGTCACTGGGAAGAAATCTTCAGCATTTTGCAAATATCCTATCACCAAATACGTGGCATATAATCACCTTTCTCCTACCTACTAAACATATGTTGGACTTGTTACAACCTCTATTGAACCAAGAAGCTTCAAAGAAGCAGCTCAAGATGAGAAGTGGGTGGAAGCCATGATGCAAAAAATCAGTGCATTGGAAAACAATCATACTTGGGAGGTTGTTGTCTCCTAGTAGGCAAACAAACAGTAGGCTCTAAGTGGGTGTATAAGATTAAGTAAAAAGTCAATAGAGAGGTAGATAAATACAAGGCCAGGTTGGTGGTAAAGGGATACACACAACAAGAGGGCTTGGACTATCATGAAATATTCTCCTCAATTGCCAAAACGGTAACTGTGAGGATAGTGATAGTACTGGCAGCCTCAAAAAATTGGGAATTATCACAAATGGATGTCAATAATGCCTTTCTACAAGGAGATCTATTTGAAGAGGTATACATGGATCTCCCACAGGGTTTTCACAAACAGGGGGAGTACAAGGTGTGTAAACTTCTCAAATCACTATATGGCTTGAAGTAGGCTTCACGACAATGGAACATCAAACTTATTAATGTCTTGACATGTGCATGCTACAATCAGAGTTCCTATGATCAATCTTTGTTTACAAAAAGGGCTAGTAATGACGTAGTCATTGTCCTAGTATACGTAGATGACATCCTCATCACAGGTAGCAATGAGGAATTAATTGAGGAAACTAAAACCACACTTCATAACAAGTTCAAGGTGAAGGATTTGGGACATTTGAGATATTTCTTAGGGATTGAGGTGTTAAGATCACAATCTGAGATCTTACTCAACAAAAGGAAATATACATTGGAGTTACTGGTTGACATTGGCCTTAGTGGATCCAAACCTGCTACTACACCTTTAGAGATGAATCTCAAACTCACCACTATTGAGTGTGATACTCATATGGGAAGGTTTGATGATGAACAATTAAAGGATATTGTTAGCTATCAAAAGCTAGTGGGAAAATTGCTCTATTTGACTATTACCAGACCAGACATAAGTTTTGCAGTGCAAATACTGAGCCAGTTCATGCAGCAACCCAAACTATCACATTGGAATGCAGCCTTGAGGTTGATCAGATATATAAAAGGGTCATCTGGACAGGGAATACTCTTGAAAAAAGGTTCATACATAAGAAAATTGGAAGCCTATTGTGACTCAGATTGGGCTGCTTGTCCAAACACAAGGAGGGCAGTCACAAGATATGCAATCAAGCTAGGAGACTCTTTAATATCTTGGAAACCCAAAAAGCAGCCGAATATAAGCAGAAACACAGTTGAAGCTGAGTAAAGAAGCATGACAGCAACAGTAGCTGAAGTAGTCTGGCTAGAAGGATTGCTATGGGAGTTGAGTGTGGAAGTATCAAAGCCAATTAAATTGTTCAGTGATAGCAAGACGGCAACGCAAATTGCAGCAAACCCAATCTATCATGAAAGAACAAAACACATCGACATTGATTGTCATTTCATTAGGGAAAAGATCAAGAATGGACTGATACAACCAGAGTACTTGGGGAGCAAACAACAACTGGCAGATTTATTCACCAAAGGATTAGGAGCAACACAACATCATTACCTGTTATCCAAGCTAGGAGTGTTAGATGTATACCACCCTCCAGCTTGAGGGGGAGTATTAAAAGTCACGTGCGCAATTAGGTTAATTGGTTAAGTGCACGTGTGAGTTAAATGTATATGTACTGTTACATCGCTGAATGAATAACGAAATTCATTTTCCTTTTCTCTTCTTCATTCTCTCTTCTCTCTTCTCTGCTATCTTCTAGAATGTACGATGACCTCCAATGGAGGTTCCTTATTTTGACAGGAACTTACATAGTTACATTTCGGCAGAATCGAAGAAGTTAATTCCTGAGTTGAAGGATTTGTCGAGGAGTTGAAATGTTCTGTTCAGTGAAAGTCATTGTTCATGTGAGAATAAAAGGAGGCATCAAAAGAGCTGCTAAAGACAGATGAAACGAAAGTTTAATCTAAGCATAGTCTCGAGACGGTCAAATCTGGAGCAAGGTTGAACTGCAAATCATTGACAACTTGAGCGAAATTCATAGAATTGGCAAAATAAAGCAGAGGGAAAGTTGGGAGTAAATTTCACCGGTGGTCATTTAGCTTTTCGTTTATTATTTCAAAGTCACTTTTCTTTTTTGGTTACGTAAAAGTTATTCAACCTCGTGTTCATTACCCAAAAGTCACTTTTCTTTCTTATATTACAGAAAAATTATTTTATTATGCTCTAATTATTACAACAGTCACTTTAATAAGATTTTATAAAACTTTCACCTAAAAAGTCTATTATGCCCTTGGCATTATAAATTCTCTCATTATGTAATACCTTATATATTACTCTCTCCGACCCATAATAAGTGACGAATTTGCCTTTTTATTTTGGTCTAAAATAAGTGTCTATTTATATGATCAAGAAAAAAATTCAATTTATTTTTTCAAAATTACCCTTATGTACGTATTCCTAAAAAGTCTTTTACTCCTTACATTAAATTATGCTGCAATATTTAATTAAGGGTAGTTTAGTTATACTAACTATTTTTATCTAGAATTTAGTATTTCCTTAATGGGTGTGCCCAAGGCAAATTGGTCACTTATTGTGGACCAGTGAGAGTATATACTATATAATATATTTTTACCTAGATATTTTAATTATAGTTAAAATAACTTTATATTATATTATTTATTATTTTATAATATATTCATACATTTAATTTTGTCATGCCACTCAATTTGTTTAATTATATTCAAACATGAACATATATTGAAACATAAAACGACAAAAAACTATTTATTTGAAATGATAAAAATAGATTTCGTTAACAAATGATAGTTTTTTATAGTCAGTAAAACTTTCAAAATTTTTTAAAGATATTTGCGTTTAATATTAAATCTTTTAAAGCGTTTATCTATAAATATTTTTTTTGAAAGTGTTAATTTGATGTGTTAGTGTGCTAAATGTGGGTATTTTGTTTATTTGATGAACAAATATGGCTTGACTGATAATCTATGAGCTTTAATTTTATAATTTTTGTTAAAAATATTTCATTAGGTATGGTTAAGAATGTTGACTTGAGATTTATTTATAGTAATGTTACTAATAAATTTAATAATGCTACTTCTATATCTTAAAAATTGACGTTAAGAAAAAATTAAATGCCAAATATATTATACAAATAATAAATCAGATAATATTAAGTTATTTTATTTATAAGTACAATGCTTAGGTAAAAATATATTATACATTATATAACTTAGAAGGTAATACATAAATGGAGGATTTATAATGTCAAGGGCATAATAGACTTTTCAAGTGAAAATTTTATAAAATTTGGTCAAAATGACTATTGTGATAACTAGAGCATAGTAAACAATTTTTGTGTAACAAAAGAAAGAAAAGTGACTTTTGGGTAATGAACACAAAATTGAATGACTTTTACGTAACAAAAGACATTAGGGTAATGAACACAAAGTTGAATGATCATCCATAAAATTTACTCGAGAGTTGGTGTAAAGACGACTTTGCTTCAAGAAAAATGCTAAGGAAAAACAAAATTGCAGAAACCAAAACCTATGGAGATGCGGGGATCGAACCCCCTGCCTCTCGCATGCAAAGCAAGTGCTCTACCATTAGAGCTACATCCCCATCATTGTGCTACTAAGGGCCTGGCTAGCTATTGTTCTCAAGATAAGTATATTTGACTTAAGAAATAATTGCAGTTGTTTTATTAGGAAAAATGTTTAGCTTAATTCCTATTGTTTTGGGTGGATAATTCTTAATTGTATAACTAGTATACATGCTTAGAAGTTAGTTAGATGTCACGATCCAATTTCACTACAGGTCGTGATGGCGTCCAACACCGTTGTCAGACAAGCCAACACGGAGATATTAGTGAGTTCTAGTTTTTCTTTACTAAAACAGTTATAACAATTTCTTAATTTAATTTAAAACAAGTGATAATTAGCAACATACAATAATAATTATACAATCCCAAAAGAATAGTCTACCAATGTATGTGCCAAGACCTGGTGTCACAAGTATATGGACATCTAGTAGAATATACAAAAGAATAAATCCATTCTATTGTCTGAAATAGAATAGACAACCAAAAGCAAATAGAGACTCCATCATGCTGTTGAACGACATAGGAAGGGAGCAGCTCACCGTGGAATCTCGAACTACGATCAAGAATGCGCACCAAACTGGTAGCCAGATGTACCTGCCTCAGATCCAGTACAATTACATACAGAAGTGTAGTATGAGTACATAAACAATATGTATCCAGTCTGACCTCGAAGAAGTAGTGACGAGGGGTCGACTTGACACCTACTAAGGTCAAAAATAATATAATTTAAGCATTATGCTAAGCATGGGTGACATGAATAAATAACAATTTATAACAGAAAATGATAAGTTCTTTTCTAGATACTATCTCAAATAAAAATATCCCTTTCAAGGCATTTAAAGCAGTTCCAATCACAAAGAAAATACCAAAGCAGGAAGCATTGCGCAAATAGTGCTGAGGCCGTACGGCCTGATCCAACATAAAAATAAAGTGTGCACTACCGGAGGGTCGAGCGGCGTGAACCATAGATGTATCTATTTCTACCGAGGCGATCGGTCCGATCCACAAATATCAATTATTATCAAGAAGGTACATAAAAGCGCATTCATAGTCAAATAGATTCATACAAGTTCTCAGGTAAGTGCATACGTTCATATATATATATATATATATATATTTTCAAACCCCTACATGTCCTAAGTAATCTCATTAGCATGAAAGGATATAAACATTTGCAAGTATAACATGATACGGGTCCTAAACTACCCGGATAATCAGCATAATAGTAGCTACGCACGGACTCTCATCACCACGTATGTACGTAGCCCCCACAAACAATCACATACATTTATTAGATTCACTTAGGGGTTTATTTCCTTTTTACGAGGTTAGAAAGGAGACTCACCTTGCTCCAAAGCTTACTTCTAATATCAAGAACGTGCTCAAACCCTTAATTTGGAGCCGAACGATCCCAAAACTAATTAAACAGGGTAAGAACTAGTCAATACAAGCTCAAGAGTTCATATTCTAACTATTAAGGCAATTCCCCAACCCCTAATACAAGTTTTCTAAAATCCATCCCCGGGCCCATGAGCTCGAATTCCGAAAATTTTGAGGGAAGTCGTTACCCATAACCTAAGGATCAAGAATATATGATTTCTATTTCATTCCATAACAAATTTCGTGGTTAAATTTTGTTTTTATCAAAACCCTAGGTTTTACTCTAATCCCATGATTTTTCACTAATCTTCATGTGTTAATCTACCTAAAACCCAAGTATTAAATTCACAATAAGTAGGGATAACTTACCTCTCAATGCTAGGTGGAAATCCCCTCTTTGGAAGCTCCCAAATCGCCCAAACAATGAAGGAAATTTTTCAACTTCACTCGAGCCTCGTCCGACTGACGCTCGGGGCCCCTGGGCCCCACCCGAATATACCGACAAGTTTGAAATCATAAAACGGACTCACTCGAACCATCAGAATGCCCGAAACAACGCTAAATCTAAGAATCACTCCCTAAAACCAATTGAATCAAACTTATGAACTTCAAGTTCTTCAATTTACTTCCAATGCGACGAAACACACTTATACTACTCGGATTGACTTCAAATTTTGCGTACAAGTCTTAAATGGCAATACGGAACTATTCCCTATCTCGGAAATCCATTCGGACCTCAATTACATAAAAACCTGCTCCAAATCAAATACTTAAGAACTTCAAAATCCTTAAGGAATCAACTTCCACTATTAGGCGCCAAAATGCTCCCGGGTCGTCCAAAACCCGTTCCGGACATACGCTCAAGTCCAAAATCATCATACGAACTTATTGGAATCGTCAGATCCCGATTTCGAGGTCGTTTACTCAAAATATTGACCGTAGTCAAACTTGGCCTTTTAGGCCAACCTTAAGGAACCAATTGTTCCGATTTCAACCCAAACTCTTCCAAATCTCGAACCAACCATCCCCGCAAGTCATAAATCAGTTAAAGCAAGTACGAGCAGTCTTAAATAGGGAATGAGGTTCTAGAAAGCAAAACGACAGGTCGGGTCGTTATATTTTCCACCTCTTAAACAAACGTTCGTCCTCGAACGAGTTTAGATTCATACCTGAAGTGCCGAATAAGCGTGGATATCTGCTCCGCATGTCCTCCTCGGACTCCCAGGCTGCCTTCTCGATTGGTTGGCCCCTCCATTGGACCTTCACCGCA